CCTCACTTTTGAATGCCCCGACTCCCCGTTATCACCCCTCCAGCGCCTCCGCTACGCCCAGCACGTCGAAAGCTATGCCTGACGGTTATCTCCTATAACATACATGGACTATGCGGCAGCAAGCTGGAACTACTTCAATACCTGCGTCGATCCTCCCCAGACGTGGTCTGCCTTCAAGAGACCTTCCACGGCCCACACCATTCACTAGCATTTCGCAACTATGGTGTAGAGCACTTGGAGGGGGAGTACCTCCCTCAAGACGACCCAGATGACCATCGCGGACGCCGGAGTAGTGGGTTACTCATCCTGATTCGACGACCACTCCACTACAAAATCTTCCTCCGCATCCCCCTCCACGACACTAATTACTGCTACTCGGCTCTGGGGGTCGAACTGTCCTCACCAACACTGCCCTCCCCCCTCAAGGTGGTTAACATCTATATCAGACCCCATCAAGGACCCAACCCACCACAACTACAACTAGAACTACCAGCGGCAAACTGTATTGTGGTAGGCGATGTCAACGGCCACCACCCAGCATGGTCTGGTTCCACTCAGTGCGACGCCAACTCAAACTTTCTTATAATGCTGCTCACAAGACGAGACACTTCCTAGCGAGCCCACAAGCCTAGACATTACGAGTTGACGAACCATATCTCTAGTAACACACCTGATGAACGTTAGAAACCCCCTCTGCTCTGGTTGCGCGACCGTCGGCTAATCCGGAGGCTATCTAACATCTATCATGGCCCTAATTCAACACTTGTTTCCCCAACAAGACTTGTTCCGTGTTGCACAGCTGATGACAACTGTCTGATCCTTTCAGTATTATAATTTATTGCCAAGCAATAAATACCCGAGCATGACCTTCACACGTTTGCTCCTTATCTTGCTACACTATGTTCTCCTGGTTGACCTAGGCGTTGGAGCCTTTGAAGCAACCGAAGGCTTCAGTCTGAGGTGGGTCACTGTCATGCTTAGTATTCTAACGTGTCGCTCCTCAGAAGCACAGTTCCGCTGATGGACACCTCTCAAAAGAACCTTACCGAGGAGATCAGTGTCAAGATTGTAAATACCGCGACCCCCAAGTAAGCCTACAACGTACGTGAATCTTTTCATATACTGTCAATAACAGGCCGAAACTGAAAGGCAGCACTACTTTTTATATCGTCTTCTTCGCGATCAACGCCGTCATATCCTGCTGCGCAACACTTTATATGTGTCGTTGCTGCTTCCACTGCTTCAGTTGGTAAGTCCGTCATCGCATAGCACTGCCCTCACACTCTCCTTTAGGGTTGGCAAAATGATGTGCATAAGTGTTTCAAAGAAGTCACGAGAAGCGTGGCTCGAGAAGCAACTTTTGCAACTACCACCAATCACCAAAGGTGCTTCCTCGCCCACAGTGGGCTCCACCGCAGTCGATGACATCGATATTGAACTTGATGATTATGATGATCGTGTTATTGATGATAAAACCGAGCAGGCTGAGGTTTGAATGCCCACCTCCCTCTCACCAAAAAAAGACGTGCGCTATCATTTGTTGTTCGCTTGCCTCGTGATATGTTATGAAAGTGATCTTGCGTTCACTAGTCGGGTACCAACTTGCTAATATCAAGGCAGAGGAGTGAACCTTTTTTTTAAGTACACGTCGTAACTCTACGCAGAAGTTCACTATAAGCAAGGCAAAGCATACATACCCTTTATGGCTCCCACCAATCCCTTACTACCATTCCACGTCATACCCCACCTCGTTCAATCGTCAACTGCTGCGGGTCCACACACAACAAAAGCGGTTCCATCGAGAGGGCGAACCTATCACTCATGACTCAGAGAAATCCTTCAGCCGCCGAAGTAGATTTTTTCAACTCAGAACAAGTCAGTCACAGCATTGCCACCATGAACATAATAGTGCATGCATGAGTGTGCTCGCGGAACGAAACAAATAACATAAACGATAGTCGCTATGCTAGAATGAGGGAGAACGAACTTCCGACTGACACTGGTAACGAGCTTTAGTCTGATCAAATCCTCCGAGTGGGGCCACTATGCCAACCCAAGACAAGCCTTAGTCTAATAATCGCCCGGGTGGGGCAGCTATGCCACCCCAAGACAAGCATGAGTAAAATAAGTTCCTCCATGTCGGGCAACTATGCCACCCCAAGGAAAGCATTAGTACAATCAGTTCCTCCGATTGGGGCAACTATGCCACACCAAGACAAACCTCAGTACTATCAATTCCACTAAGTGGGCAACTATGCTACCCCGAGATAAGTCTTAGTACAGTCAGGTACTCCGAGCGGGGCAGCTATGCCACCCCAACCTATGCCTTAGTAAAACCAATTACTAGAGGTGAGGCAAGTATACCAGCCTAAGATATGTCTCAGTACAACCAATTTCTTCAGATAGTATGCATCAGTTCAAACCTGGGGCCACTGAGCCACGGTGGCATTGCCACCGCGAGATATGCGTTATGCGAATAATTTCGCAAACCCAAAAAACAATTCTCGCCGAACGACCAAAGCAACTTCAATTTTGATGAGCTGCAACCAATCAGTGCCGCTGCTAGCGAGGCCGGTTTCTCCCGGGGGGCCGGTATGCCATAGCATACCACAGACACCACGCAATACCTTATCCTGTGCCGTAGTGCGGACCACGTCCAGATCAATGATGGCCCCTCAGTTACTCGATACCGCGCATTGTTATGATGATGCTGTCGGTCTCTTGTAGCGTAGAAGTTCAACCACTATTCGCTCGATGACCAAGCCGGAACAATAACACGGCGGAAACCTTTAGGAATTTACACGAAGGCTACTATGCGATTTTCACTATCAAGCACGCACGTTTGAGGATCAAGACCCTATCCTGTCCCGGGAAGGGCAAGTTTGAGGGGGATTTGCCAATCCCCGCTAGCAACAGAGAAGAATAAGAGAAACACTGGGTAAGAGTATCAGAGACCTGCTGAAGTGGTAGAAGCAATCACTCCTCCAGGGGAACTTCTTCCCATGTGTGTGACCAACAGGGTTGTTCTCACTCATGCTCCACCCGTTGCGAGGATAACAAAGATTATCAAATGAAAACTTGTTGTGTGTGTCTCTTTTTGCTTGTCCTAATATAGAGTTATATGGTTGAGCGATTGAGTTGTTGACACCAACCTGATTGAATCTCAATCAGGACGTCGCTCAACCCATTGAGCCCCCTACATTTACCCGCATGATACGTAGACGTGGAACTCGTACTGTTCAATCGATCAAATCGCAATAACATACCTACGCTTCCCGCCACGTGTACCGCAGACATTGGACACTTCAGGATGGAGCAAGCAATACAAACAACAATCTACATTCATATTAATCCCTCTGAGTATCGATGGGAGGATTCTCCCAACAGGACTTCTAATCCCAATATGGCGGATTTCTCTCGAGGTGAATGGGAGGTCGAGGTTGAAATGCGACCGGATTACAGACTCGAAAATGATGGCTTACTGAACCAAAAAAGCATTGATTTGCACTGATTTTCGACCAATTTCTCTCAATTTTTTCAATTTAAGAGTATATGAGCTCACGCCGCTACAACTGACACGGCCGCTAGCAGGAGATACACTCCCATTCTAACGATTCTTGAGTGAAACCCTCTTGAGGAGGACTGGAAAATTTTGCGCACGATCCGGGCGAGCTCTACATTTAAATGGCGAGCGAGGAGACAGCGCATGAAGCGGTCGCCGGGTCGTAAGTTCCGACAAGATTATAGTGGCTTATCAAACTTCATTATAATGCTGCTCACAAGACGAGACACTTACTAGCGAGCCCACAAGCCTAGACATTACGAGTTGACGAACCATATCTCTAGTACCACACCTGATGAACGTTAGAAACCCCCTCTGCTCTGGTTGCGCGACCGTCG